ATGCCGTGAAAGGTACCGATTAATTCTCGTAATGAATTTCTTTTGGATCATTGTTTTTTTTTGGGCAGCCATCAACAGGTTATGCAGATGATAGAAGGGTTCCATTGGTTGTAACAGAGATGTAAGGGGGTGGGGGTTATGCTAGCGCGGAGAATACGAGTGTAAAGGACGGAGTACGTTCACTCGCATATTTATGGTACCGTTAACCAGGTTACGTCGCAAGTACTGCGACCGCGACCGCTTATGAGACTGAGGAGGTTCTCGTCCGCGATTGTCGGTGAAACAAGTCGATAGTAAGATTTTAGTTCTTCGTCGAGTCAACGATTATTCGTTTGAATTGCACGGTGTTTATGGCCATCCAAAGCGCCGCAGCATTGCGGTAGAACTGGTTACAATTATTCTTTCTATTCGCAGACCCGTTCCCGATACGCTGGCCACTAGACCAGCCATATTATAATACATAGCTATATTAATTTCGCCAGTAGGCAGTCACTGAAATCGAGACTATTCACTCGGAAGAATTATTCCGTTGAAGAACGAATTATGATAAGGGCCTCCTACCACTTGGTAAATTTATTTCAAGTACTGAAATAAATGTTAAAATGCATGGTAATTTGGTATAAATTTCGAAAACTTCCGAATTCAAATGGTAGTAGGACTTTTCTCAACGCCAGTTTTTTTCCCTATCGGAAGCTGAGTTTGCTCGTGGGTGTATCTACCGAAAATGACGGAAGACAAAACGTTGTCGTCGTTACGTCGCCTCTGATCTCTACACGTGTGAACGTTTAAACGAGACCAAGCCTCGCGTGGGATCACCGCAGCCGAGCACAAAGTAGAAAGTCGTCCGTGTTACGCAAATTATAAAAAGATTATGCGTATCATAGAGACGTAATCGTAATTTAATTAAGAGCACATACGGGAGACGCGTTATCTGGCAGGAGAATGCTTCCAGGATGGTGCAACGAGCGTCTACGCGGGACTTCTCGGATCTTCATCCGAACGCGCCTTTCTAAGTGAACCGAAGGACGTGCTTCTGCAATTACCTCGGCCGGGATGCAATTAAAAGCGTTTCGTTCTCGCTTTACCAGGCCAGCTGCGCGCGTTGTTGCCGGCACAATTAGACTCGGACGCATGCGTTTCCGTTTCTTTCACCTTAATTAGGATAGCTAGAGATAGTAGGCGTTCTACTCCGATAGACAATTGATAGCTGTTCGATAGTACGCACCGTTGAATGTGCTTCGGTTGAAAACACGAAATCCTCGATTTCAACGAGCATACAAATTATTAACGTGGAATCCCTCGAGATAATCTATGTATGTACGCTCTCGCGTGAAATTCGATCCATTGTTTGCATGATAATCGGTGTCATTGCACTGTCGCCGGAAAGAACAGGTAAGCCTGAAACTTGACAACTCTATCGGAGGTACAAAGACGATCGGACGTTGGTAAATGGAGAACAGAAGAAATAGGTCTCGAGGAGAAAGGTGGGCCCACGAAATTCCATTCGGATCGTCTCAGGTAGGGTCCTGGCAACCGGTTATAGTGAAAAGGAGAATCGTTTTCAAGGAAAGACGTCATCGGCCTCTTCGATTACCATTCGTTGACGATGCTCAGTTGCGATGCACGATAAGGTTTAACGGTGGTTCGTCTTTGGCATTAGGCGGTTGCTCGAGCGTTAGTCACCCTATTTCGTTGTGGACGAAAAACATTCTACTCGAGGGATTTGGTTGAATCATGCTTACCTACACACACTTGTACAACGTTAATTTGGCGTGCATGGCAACCCTCCTGGCGATCGACGACACGATAATTCGAGGAATCAACTGTTTCGAGCGTCTACAGTTAACAGGTGCCACGAAAATTTTATCAATGGCCATTCGTTCGAATCGAATTTAGAACTTCTTTGCCACAATATTGCAGAGGCAAGGATACTTCTTGCTTCGAGCAAGTGACTTCACATTGACTTTTGGTCATTTGGAATATCACTCCGATTCTCTATTCTTTTTCAAGGGTTTTCGTAGGAGCGAAATACGTGTCGACTACATATACATATGTAAATACAGGGTGTCTCGGCTAACTTGATCACCTCGAATAATGACTCTTATGAAGAAATAAGTAATTCCGTTAAAATATATTTAAATCTCTGAAATGCCTCCACCCACAAAGAAAGCACGTGCCTTACAAGATGTACCCCTTGATGCAATTTAAGTTCCACGCCTAAAAATTTTCATAAAATGTACCGTTAAGTTATTATTCGAGGTGATCAAGTTAGCTGAGACATCCTGTATATGCATACATATTTGCATATGTACATATATGTATATAATAGTTCGCCGAGTGGAGACACGCTACCGTTAGCGTGCCCCATGCCTCTCCCTCTTGTACAATATGTACATTACCCTTCTACTGGTCTGTTTACTTCCCGATCGAAGCGCAAAGCAGCCATGACAAGCACGTGCGCAACCACAGAATCGATTTAACGTGCACCAGTCCGTGTCCCCAGACTCTTGTAAATTCCCCGCAGGTTTCTGTTTTTACTCCCTCCTTTCACATTTGTCCCCAGGTAAAAAAGACGTTCCGTTGACTAAAAGTGTTTCGCCTCTTAACGTCAATTTAATTCGTGACTCTCGGTGATTTCACGGAAACAAAGGGAACGTTGTAAGAAACAAGGGAACGCGTGAAAAGGGTCGGCCACAGTCTCGATTTCCCCCGAGGAATCTTCCCTTGTGGAAAGTAATTGCCGCGCCGACGCAAACTTTCCACAAGGCGAACGCGGGTCTACGATCCATCGTCTCGAACGACCGTTTTTCTTCGCCTCTCGCGCGACTCTGGTCTTCGACTTTTACAGAAGGAAACGGCCGATCTCGGTATTAGGAAGACCGACCGACTCGTTCTTGAAATTGGAAACCGCGATCGTAATTATCTTTCAGGGATGTCAGCTTCGCAGCAACGATCCTCGACTTGTAGGAGATCCCGGACGTTGGTTCGAAGCGACGGTCACACGATTTCCATCGACATCGGCCACGATATCCGTGTTAGTGGGCAACCTCGAGATTTCTCGGAGGCGCACGACGAGATCGTCTTCCATCGCCGGCGAAATCTATCTTCCCTTTTGGACAAATCTCTCCCGTTCCCGGAGGAAAAGCCGTTCGAGTCACGGAAATACCGATTTTCTCCGAACATCCACACGAGTGGATTCATGCCTCTCTCTTCGTTGACTTTATTCGGATGGATGACATCAGACGACGAACGAGGACGTGACAGAACTTTTCACCGATCTCACGCGCAATACCGTTACGAAGCTGAGAATTGGGTAGAATTTAAACGCGTTGAGTTAGCGATGAAATACAGTAAAAAAATCGATTATTAATAACTTCTTACGGAAACAAGATAACCCCAGGTTGTTGGTTTTTCCTTACAAAGCCACACGTCGACGCAGTCAATTATTCGTTTTATAAAAATTATCAGGAACACCGAGCTTCGAGGAACGACCGGTTGAATGAAATCGCAAGAAATCGCGACGGAAATAAAGCACTAAGAAAACAACTCACCAGCAACGGTCGTCTGCTCGAGTGGCTCTAGGTCGAGGGCCGAGGAGAAGAGAGCGACCCCGCCTAATAGACAGAGTCCTGCGAACGCGCGCAGAAAACATCTTTCCTGGATCCGCATCCTACCGCATTCTTTCTGCACAGTTTTTCGCGAACGGTCTTGGCACCGCAACTGCGCGGCTGATGGAACTCTGTGTCACTCGAACAGCCGAAGCACTCGATCCAGGCAACACGCGTCCCTCCAGCCGGTAGATGCCCTCTTCTATCGGATACCAGAGTAAGAGGACCGGAATGAGGAAACAGACGCAGCTACGAAGGGATTGATACTCAAACGATGAAGTAAAAAAAAAAAACACAGTCACACACGATTGAAAAACTGAACGAGAACACAAACGGCGATCGAACGATGGGATTCACTTAATTCACTGTCTCGACGGACGAACAGACGGACGGTTTTGTCGCGATCCGTGCCGAGGCCGGAGGTGGAGTGCATCGGTGAGCGGGATCTACCTCCTCCTTGGCGTTGCTGCCTCGGGGTTACCTTTCATTCCTCCTCTTCGGCCAGCCGGGGAATTCTCCACGCTCACCTTGCTATAGGCCCGCCGAGTGATTCTACAGGCTGATCGCTGGACACCGCTAACCTGGACACGTTCCGCTCGACTCGACGGCGACGCCTCCTCTGGTGGGAGAACTCTATTCAGAGACGTATTATCGACAGCACCTCCGAGACCGTGGTCACAGACGAGATATAAGAATAGACCTAACATCTTATGGGAATTGGTGTCCCACGAAAATCACGCTGGTTAGAGCGCACTTCTACAGAAAAGTTTTCGATGTCAGGAATTATGTTCGACACCGCGATAACGCACAGCACACATCGGAGTTGGGCAGCATTTTAATCGAATAATACACAGTGAAAAGCAGCAGTATCTATGGGTGTCGTTCTGAGCTTTAAACAATTAATGAGATTAAATAATTGTTCGACAAATGGCGATTCATTCATAAAGAAGTATTATGTTATTATAAAAATTGAAACTTTCACGTTTGAACAATTAAAAATGTTCGAAATTCCTCGTTATTCGAAACTTTTTATCTAGATAATTAGTTTGCTCATTTCTGGCACATAGATACCCGTGACTGCATATAGCGATTTGGACAATTTAACACAAGTTTTCATGTATCTCCTCTGGTTTTCGAAATAATACTTCCGGGTCGAAACTTCGAGGGATGGTTTGACCCCTTAAAGTCGTGTCTCAGCCGATAAAAAAAATACGTGTCCCTTATTTTTGCCTGCTTAACAGACATACGAAGTTTCATCAAATTCACCCGATGTTCGAGTACTAATGGTTTAACTAATGACTAACGGATATTTGCATGAACATTCCCAATCCTGTCGTACAGTTTTCTATTTGAACAATTACAATAGTTTTTACCACAGACAATATACAAGAATCTTATATCTCGTCTGTGCTTTTACCAAATAAACTTTCTCAAGCAGAGCACTCGTGTTTGAATTCCACGTTAAAAGATTTTTATCTCGAAGAATTTTAGTTTTCTTTGTCAAAGCTTATTTGCTTCGTGAAATTTCTCCATTCCAGCAAACTTCGTTCCCACCAGGAATAGTTTTGCGAGTTTAATTGCGCGTGCTGAACGCAGCAGAATTTCGCGGGAACCGCTTTCATCCGCGAAGCTCTCGAACGATTTTCCTATTCGTTATGTATTAGACTGTCCACGGTTCGGATCGAAGAACAAACGACGTCTCGGAGCGAAAGCGGTGGTGAAATTGAAAGTGATCGCCTGCCTTGCCGTCGCGTATTTTCTTCGCACTCGTTCATTCGACTTACGCATTAGGTATCGGATCGTCGTTGCCCGAGGAAACTGTTGCAAGAACGTTGATTTAGAAATCATCTTCGGGTCAATTTCTCCTCGCAGAACGTAGCGATGGAATCTGACTCAATTGCAACAGTCCTTTCCCAAACCTCGTAGGCATTCTCTCCTCGGATGCTTTTTTAACGAACCAATTAGCACATAATTCTTCGCGACGCAACAGTCTTGCCTTGAAATTACATGCCATATACCGGTGCAACGTAATAACCCGTCGCGATAATTCCGAATTCATTATTCCGATTCGTCGGCCCGGAGCCGTTATCTTCTCCGGCGAAACAGTTCTCTTCGATTCTTCCAACACATTTCGACGCAACAAATGTTCGACAAGTACCTATATAAATCCGTCCCGTTTCGTCTGGCTAATTGGCAGACACGCATTGAATGGTGTACTTTCACTTAATCTATCGATAGATAAACATAACCATATTTAAGATAAATATGGTTGCATCGTCGATCGCATTCTGATTTCACGTGTTCCTTGTCGCAGGCTACTTTGGTTATTTTTACGAAAGAAATGCCTTTGGCGATTGCTTCGTCAATGACGGTTCGCGAACATTATAAATTGGGGCAGATAGACTCTTACGAAACAAGGACCTCCCGAGTTCGATTCAGTCGGAGATGTCGAAAAGACGGAACAGTCAGCTTCCAGGGTATTTCCAGCCGAAAGTCTCGGAATTTTCTACACTATTCTACAGGATGTTGCACATATACGAACTTATATATGTATGTACTTCCTTGAATTCACGTCGAAGTTCCTTTTTGAACTTGTTTTAAATACGTGTTACAGCGTTGCTACCATTACTTAAGCGATACCTTCTTTTCCTTTTAATTCTTTGTGACTGGGCCATGCAAAGCTTCTCCGGGAGAAAGCGTCAGTGGGTCAGGGTGACGACACACCTCCGCTTCTGCAAAGTAAAACTGTTGCCGCGCGAACTCACGGCGAGACTGTTGTGTAGTCAACGGAGGTGATAAATCTCCGTTACGATTGTCATCGACACCGAAATTCCGCGATTCTCTAATACGAATTAACGTAATAAGGATAGTAGTTTTGAATGAGGTTATCCGGAAACAGTTTATATAGAATTAATGATAATAAATAACAAACAAACTATTGGTACAATTATTGACTGATGAATGAGGTGACGAAGTATGATAGGATTACTCACGAATTTTAAATATAAGCGTATAGAGAGTGCAAGTTGGTGTTCACTCTTCAGCTGTTGCTGTTAGACTGACTTTTAGACGAACTTGAAAAGCAGCGAAAATATGCGTTTCGCCTGATTGGATGAAAGTGAAGACAGTTGCTAAATACTGTCCGGTGATTGGTTGCCCCGAAGGAGGAAAAATCCGTTGGTTTTTCCAGGATGTCATGGTGGAAGAAATCTTTCCTTCGGGGCGACGTGCACACGTGCAACTCATTAAGTTGGCCGGTCAAGGTTCGACTCGAGTGTGCTAAATTTGTGCGTGTACTCGAAGGATACAGGTTTATGACTCTTTTGTTCCGATTTTCGGTAGAACCGCGCGGACGTCACCGGCTGTAGACCAAATATTGATCCTTTTGACGAGAAGATTAAAAAGGGAAATAAATGTACATAATAGGTGAAAGGAAGTTTTGGTGACTGGGCTGCAAAATATAAAATTAGGAAAGTTATTTCTAAAGGTCTTTCACGCGGATAAAATTCTAACGATAGATGTTTATGCTATCAGGACGTCCGAGCAGGGCGTAACAAAAACGATACACGATCCTCGGAAGTTGTCGAGTGTCTCCATTGACTGACATAAAATTAGCAAAACTCTATTAAACGCTTCAAATTATTAGCATTAGAGTTTCATATTAAAGTTCGTCAATGAATTCTCCAGTACATATGTATGTCACAATATCTGGAAATTATTTCCCGAGAAAATTACGTCAGCGGAGGTGGTTCCTGTTCAAAATGAATCCTTTCGGTGCTATGAGTATACACGTTCCACGAATTGGAGCACCGAAAGGGTTAAATGCCGCACGCGTTCGTAAGAAGATTCCAATGCCAACTGGTTCCGAATGAGTCACCCGATAGACAAATCGAGTCCTGCCGAGAACGTCCTCGACTAAAGTTTTGATGGAGAAATCTTTCACGGGGTAAAAGCGAGCGGTTCTAGAGTTCTAGTCTAGTCAGGCGTGCGCGCCTAGGTATACATACGTACGTACTACGCGGCCTCACTTTCGTAATGATCCCGAACCGCGTTTCTGTGTTCGTCTCTTATGTCATGCAGCCGCTGAACTGGATTCGAACCTTCTGACGCCAGATAATGGTTCGCCACGACGCATCATCCGATATTTACACGAGCCCCGATCGCTGTTTTCAACTTTTTCATCGCCGCCGTCACGCCAACGATCAATTTAATTGTGCACACGTTTCTCGTAGGAACACCTGAAAATCAGTCGAATGAAAGTTCAATATTAATGACAGACTTAAAGAAAACCGAATAATATTCTTCTTCGTTGAATTGATTTTGAAATCGTCAACACTAGTCTGACTCGATGTTACAGGGCAACGGGTTAACTCTTCGAAACACAGGATTTTACAATAAAAGAAATACCTAGTTGCACATACGTCTTTTTGTATGAAATGTGTCAAAATATTATTCTATTTGAATTATGTTCTATTTTTAGTAATTTCACGATTTAAAGGTGGTACGAATAACGTCCCACTATGCGAGTTGGGTATAAAAAGAAGATGGGACATTTTTTATACCATCGAGCATCAAAGAGTTAGAAGAACATCTGCGAGTACCCACTGGAACCTTGAAACGACCGAAATGCAGCAATGTTGATTTATTATAAAAATGTATGTAGATACAAATAGAGGTCCTCGTATGAACGAAAGATAGATGAGAGTCTATTGAGATGCGATCTTGGTGCAGTTTAAGAGTTGATCGATGAAATGTCTTGTTCAACTGCCGAGCCAGTGCCTGGAACGATGCTCCACAAACACGGACGCGCTTATGAGATAGCGACGTCGGCGCAGTTCCTGAAGGTCTCTTGAGGTCCGCAGCCTAAAGCGGAATGGCCATCGCCGCAGTCACCCCAGTTGTTTCCGCTACGATAGTTCCATCTGACGACGCACTGATTACAGGTGACACCTCCCGGAAGACGAACCCCCACGTTGAATTCGTACTGACTCGACGGAACCGACAAGCTGTAGGAGCCATCGGACAGCTGAAGCGGGTATCGATTGAAGCAGTCTTCGGTCTCCAGTTCGTTCGAAGAATGCAGGGGGCAGAGGTGAAAGGTGAAGGATCCCTTGTGGTTGGCAGTCAGCTTCACGTTAATGTTGATGGTCTCACCGCGTTTGTACCTGTGGTATCATCACACATATCTCTACGTATTATTGTTATCGATGAATATTCTTGAATCCATAGATCTCTACGGAATCCTTAATATCTTAAACTGTGATAAACTCGGAGGATTCATACGCCGCATCGTCCACCATTTTGTTCCCATTGAACCTGCCACGAATGAATATTCGTAAGTTCGTTATAAAAGGGGTGCGAATAGGTAATAAATAAATTATAATAGGATATGTATATATTACATATCGTGAATTATGTTTAGAGTTTTAACATCATTCAGGTGAAGAGTTATAAACGGATAACCGATAATATTGTCAACCAGTTAATTGTTTGCTTCGAAAAGCATGTGAGAATGTTCGAATGCTTTCCACGAGGAGCTTCTCTCAAATCATGAGAGACAAACTACACATAGAAATTTATTCGACGGATGTTCCAACGTACGTATAATTGTATAATAATACGTCATAAAAATTGAATATTCTTACGTTGTATCCTCCGCAGTAGAGACCCATGTCGTCGTAGTTTGGTTCAACAGGGAATCCTTTCCTCCAGGCGCTGCTCCTTTGCACGGGATCCATCATCATCCCGTGGCCGTAAATCTCCTGTAGTTGAATCCCCAGCAAGCTGGTGATCAGCAAAATTTGCGTGAAAGCCATGTCTTTCGTTCCGAATGACGAACGAGCTGTGAAATGTACGATTCTCGATCGTTTTCCACTGTACCTTCCGTTTATATAGCGAAATCTGCAAGATTTACCACGGATGAATAGCTGCAGATTTATCGATTGGTTGAAGGTTATCTTATCAATCCAGTCGAATTATGATGAACCACTGCTTGCAGTTCACTGTTGCTCCCCTAGTATGATACGATCGAGGCTTATCAAGAAATCTGAGTGAATAATCTTTTATCATCGAAGATTACATTGAACGTTCTTGACGAAGTACATGCTTTCGACGCAACAATCAAAGAAGGTCGAATATACATGTAGCGAATACAGGCTAATACAATCATATGTATTGTCACTATTTACGACGTAAGTACTACGAGTTTAAACATACAATATAATCCTTGCTCTGCGATAACAACGATACCTACTTATACATCTGTATCTGGTTTATTCTAACGAGAAATTAGACATTTTTTTAAGTGTCTTACTTAGGTACACTAGAATGTAAAGTCGCATAAACGTTAGATGTATGTATTGTATAGAAACTTACTTCGTGAAGTTTACGTTAAAAGACGAATTAAGTATTTCAACTTGTACACTGACGTGCAAACTGGGCTTCCGTTAGGGAAAAAAGTAGTGTTGGGAAGGGGCCCTCTGAAATAAATTTATCAAGTGGCAGAAGGCCCTTCTTTTACGTCACTTCTTCCCCTAGCGGTAGCCGAGTTTGCTCGCGAGTGTACAAATCGAATGTAAACTTTTAAATGCGACAAACACTCTTCCCACCTGTTTAAACTTCTCAAAGTGAAATGTACAATCTGTTTTTTGTTTGAACTAGTAATTTACATAACTTTCTGCATCACAGAAATCTTCCGATTAAATTAGAATAATAAAAGGATTAACTTTCACGCTCCCAAAATAGTATATCAATATCTGTTGAGCCAGTGAAAAGTATGTTTGCGCGCACATGCATCTAGGGAACAATTTAATAATGAAACAGGAATTAGTCTATGGTTCATAGACAATAGTACGTCATTTGAATCGCGTATAGTATACCGCAATAAGTGTACACAATTCGTGACCGATATGATACTACATATGTATGTTCCTTAAACCATTTAACGATATTTAGTTTCATTCGATTATATTATATTAAAAATACAATAGGTACGATTTATCGCTAAAAGTTCGAAAAACAGCAGCCGAGTTTAAGCAATTTTGATACTTGTTTATATCCGGCAACAAACTAAACAGCATACTGCAACATTTATCAAATTAGCTATTTCTTTGTAGGATATAATTACGATAACTACATACTCCCGTACTCGTAATCAGTGATAATCATCATCCTTATCAAATTACAATGTCGTTTATTAGTAACGATCGAACCTCGATAACCAGCTTGCGGTATCGTATTCTTAGAGGCAATTACATCACTATATTTCAACGTTTGTAAAATTTTCTTATGAAACAGCGTGCACTAATAAAGCAGTTATCCGCAATTAGAAGTGTGTTAGTTAATTGCTCTGTTACTGTGACATTTTAAGTTTTTTAATTGTTCCAGAACATTTAAAAGTAAAAACCTTGATTCGATCGAGTGGAAATGGATAACAGTTCTTTCATTTTCTTGAGCGATGGATCTCAAGTTTGTCTACACTTCAACAAAAATACAGACGAGGTATGTGTTGGACCTAGCATGTAATGTATTTTTTCTCATTTCAGAAATTATTTCTCGATAAAATACATTTTAAGCGTCTTAAACGTACTGTTGGGAAATTTGTGTTTTCCACAGTCACTTTATTCACCAAAGTTTATACTATGGCCGTACCAGGAATTTAGACCCTTCAAGAAAGACTTGGCTGGCTGAAATAATTGAACTCGGCCTTTCTTAAAAAAAAAACATAAACAAAACTGCATAAACTTTCAAATACAGAAGGTATTTCTATTGAAGCCATACGAATATTATTATAAATTCTACGCTTTGTCATAATTATTTAAATAAATAACAACAAAATGGTAACTATATGCTGTTTCTTCAGCCACTACCTTTATTTCATTTACTGTCCTTTGTTCCGAACTTAAAGAAATAAACGTAAAGAACTATAGCAATAAAAAAATAAAAGAATAAAAAAAATACGAAATTCCGAGTGGAATTTCTCCAGTGTATTGTGGCGCCATCTACCGAGGACCGACTGAACCATGCAGAAGAAGTTTCCAAATTGGTCCAGCCATTCACCACCAGATACGATGTCGTATACATTCCGAAAAACCAGATATTTCGCAATTTCAAACTACCAGGAGGCGCCATCCCTCGGTAACCGGGTGAACCAATCATACATTTAGTCACATCGATATATATGTAACTAGAAATCTCGCTATCCTACTATAAATGAAGTGGATGACGTTGTAATCTGTTATTGGTAATGTAGATCACCTGACGAAATAAAATACGGTCGATAATATAGAACGTCTTTATCATTTTATTTACCCAAAAAATTGAATCGACAAAAATTACTGGAATATAGTCCTTTGAATTGCAGGTACATATACGGATTAAACGAAGGAAATGGAAAGGGCAAATATACAACGTACGACATTTATTCTCTCGTTTCCCTTAAATCGATATCCTACGGTACAGGTAGATACAGAGGATCCCATAAAGGTACATGAATCTCCATGAATCCAGAAAATTCGAGGACATATATCAGCGTACCCTCCCTCTCATCCCTCCAATTCCATACTGTTCTGTGCGTGTACAACTGAGCATACGTGTATGTGCGTATCCATGCCGCGTTCCTTTCACTGTATTATCCCTCGGATTCACGCCACGTCGTATCCTTTCGCGCGTTTCAATCTTTCATTCGTACGTCACTCTCGTCTCCCTTTTGCGTCAAATCTCCTGCTCCTATCTCTCGTTTTTTAAACGAAACGCGGTACTCGAGGCGCACAACTGTCCCCGGAAAGAAGAAGACCGACCGACCGTTCTATAAGTCATCTCGAATTTGGTGTCAATGTACAATAAACTTTAATCTCGCCCGCCTCTTTTTTCCTTCTGTTCTTCCCATAAAAACTTCCACGAATGGTTTCCGTTTAAATCGTCGAACGGAGAAACACGATATTTACAGTGTCAACGGTCGAACGGTGATTCCCAACGAATCGAGAAATGAAATAATTCGTTCAAGTTCATTTAAATCACGCCCTGTAAATCGTTCGGCCGATCTTCGAAGAGAATCGACGGCTCTGTTAAAATTTTCAACTCTCGAATTTCTCCGTCGATCGGTTCGATCGACGTTTCGCGCGGCAGAGACGCTTGTCTCGCAGTCGAACGTCCCGGAAGCCTCTTCTTTCAATAAAAACCAGTCCTCGAACAACGCTCAGTCGCATTCTATATATGTATATACATACACATCGACGCACAATCGTGGTGGTGGTCCTACGCGAGATTCGTCTCCTTCTCACGTGATATGCCACGGGTTCGTGTCATTCTCTTGACAACGAGGTTCGACATGTCCACGCGTGGAACCCTACGTCTCTCCTCTATCCGAAGTTCAACTCGTGATTTGATTGCAACATCAATCTTCTTTCAAATAATATATCCCGGGCTGATATTCCGTACCGGAGGCTTTATCGTAAAATCCATCGGATAATTTGGTTCGTGCTTCACGGACTGCGTTTTATAAAGTTACAAAAGCGACGAAAGACCGAAGAGTATCGAAGGGTGCCACGAAACAATAGATTCGAATTTACCGATTCTTAGAGCAAGATCCAACAACCAGTTAACGAGCGCCACCTTCCAATATCTCTTTTATTTTACAATGGCCTATGCGCTCGAACTGCGTGTAATTACTCACAGGACCGTTTCAGATGTTTTCCTTCTCGAGAAATACAATCGCCTCGGTTCTTCCGCATTGTTTCAGTTTCACTTTCTAAATTGTATGTCCTTAATGTCACTTATCAAATATTGTCATGATTCGCTGTTTTGCCTAGTGCTTCACGATGAACCAAGATATGGCCGACATTGTTTAAATATCTAAATAAAGAGACTAAAGCGTAATATGTTTAAGATATTAGTGAAAAGGGGTCGGACAGTTTTCTAGGTCTTCACGGGTTGTGCCCCGCCTTCAATCCCGTAGAAAAAATATTATTCCACCGTGTTTCCGCTGAATCCTCTGAATGGCGAAGTTACAGTTCCCTTTTTACGAAAGCATTCCAGCTCTTACATTAATCCCGTAAAGGGTGCACCGTCAAGTGTCCCGTCTAATTCTTGACGGAAGTTTCCTTCGAAACGATCGAATCCTCCTATAAATCTTGGTGCTTCGCTTCTGATTCCATCGAGAAAGGAGTTCCCCCCGGAAAACAGAGATCCTTTTCCTTCGAGGAAAGCATTCCGATTTCGAGGACCGCTTTGAATCGAAGGGCTCGTTTCATGCGAATATTTCGCTCGATCGTGGTAAAAATTCGTGAAACGACGGCCTCGAGCCGAGGTTGAGTGCTACTACGAGTGAAAATCAATTCCGATTTTCAAAGATCTCCGCTTCGCCTAGGTAGAAACGATTTTCTAGTTTCAAGTAAAAGTTGATATTCGAATCTCGGCTGAACCGAAAGAGAAGAATTTCAAGTTCGATTTCTTACGAAGAGAAAAATATGGAGAGGAAAATAAGAGGTCACGAGTGGTGGTTTCGACTTTCAAATTTTAAATTATAGCTGTCGTCCAAAAGTACAGCTTCCTTCGGTTAGAATGCGTTAAAACCACCTCTTCCCTCCTCCCTTTAATATTCAATTTCGAGCTAACGAAGAGTTGCAAAGATAGTGAGAGCATTTATAAAACCCAGCTATTCGATTTGGAATATCGAATGGTCGACGTGCGATCAACTAAACTAAACAGGGGATCAGTTTCCTCCCGCTGGATCGTAAAGTCCATTCCGACGACGCTGTATAAAATGCACGTATAAGGGTTGTTGTATATAATCGACGGGGGGCACAGGTGGCGGTCGACAGTCCCGTATTATCGTGTTCCGCTCCAC